CCTGAGCACCCCCTGCCCCGCTGCGTGCCCAGAGAGGCAGCAGCCCGGCGGGACGCGGGGCCCTTCTGACAAGCACTTTGATACGAGCGAGCGTGCAGCAAGCAGGTGGCAAGGCCGCCTGGAAGGGAGGCATGAGCCGGTGCCGCCTGCGAAACGCAAAGGTTGAATGCTGTTTTGTCCTGTGTCATGCTGCAGTCTCTGTTGTCTCTCACAAGTTAAGCACAGAGTGTATCTAGTCCTAACTTGGTCTCGGCTGTGACAAAATCCCAGACACCTACGGTACTGGATTCTAGTAACTAACAAAACAGCATTAAATATCTCCTCTGTGTGCCTGTTCCTGGCCTGACCCTGAGTGGTGTTCGCTGCAGTTTCTTTTGCGGCCCTGAACCTGTAACTAGCTGAACTTCCAGATTCACAAATGCTGAGAAAGTTGCTCTGGAAAAAGTTCATCCCTCCTCCTTCCGGCAGTCACCACTCAGATGCTTCCGAAGGGAAACCTTTCAAGTCTCGCTGTACGTGCTGGTTACGCCAGGTCCGCTGCAAGCGTTCTGCTTCACGGTGCACTTCTGTGTCTCTGTACTGCAGCTTTCTCCGGGGGCAAGATCCTAGATTTTCCAGGCAAAATTACTGACCATCCCGGAGGGTTTATGCTGGCACTGAGGCCTAGGGCAGATGGAGGCAGGTGAGAAGGAACTTGGAATAATGTAAAAGCTGAAATGGGAGCTTGCTTACTGTCAGCTTACTCTCCACAAAGCACAAAGACAAGCTCCTTTTTTAAAAAATACAACCTTACCTACTGTGCTGCTTGTAATGAGCTTGTTCCTTAAGCGATCTGATAACAAAGAGATTTTAGCACATTCTCCAATTTAGCACGAGGTCTTCCTCTTGCTACTTTTTTCTCTCCCTGCTACATCCCAATATGGTGGTAAGTTAGTAAGAACCTGGCAGACTCTAGGGAATTTTTGGTTTAAGCTTTTTCTATCATGGATTATGTAGAAAACATCCTGGATTTTGAGCTGTTTGAATCCTGACAAGAAAGGACTCTCACATAGATACTTTGCTATGGAAGGGAACTCAGCTTAGGGGTTCTGGGCTTTAGTGGTGATCACCGACCGCTCTTTTTCTGTGTACAAAAAGCAGCAGGTGGGCCTTAAAACACACAAACAAGAACTGTTGTGGAACTGAGTTGATTTCTTGTCTCTTGGTGTCCTGCTGAGATTGTCACCGCAGGCTCAGCGCAGGGGCAGGTTTCTGCCTCCCCACCACCGCAGTCCTCTCCCTCGGCACCTCCTTCGGGAGCAGAGGTGCTGTTACCCCTTTTGTGGCAGACCCGCAAGGAGGTTTACATTTTGCTCAACTGAGATGTTGAAGCAGTATTTATTGGCAGAGGGGGTGCTTGGTTGTTCCTGTGGGGCCAGGGCTGCTGTGTGCAGTGAGTGGGGATGGGTCCCTCTCCTCTGAAAGGGGTTGTTTTACTGATAGAGCGGGAAGATGTGCACAGGACAGAAGATAAATCTGCACAAGTCAGGGGACACAAAAGAGCCCAGTGGGGCTCTGAAAAAAGGTGCCTTTGCCAGGAAGGAGCAGTGAGAGCAGGGAGGCCGCAGTGGTGGGGTGAGCAAGCGCCTTGGGGTTTTGCCAGGCTTTTTGCAGTGGGGTGTGAATCTGCAGCGCCCGCGCGTGGCTGCTCGGAGTGGCGCTTTGGCCGCACAGCGACAGGTTTTGGTACTCGGTCCCTTGCCGGTGCTTCCTGTCCTGAGGCTGATTCAGAAGGAACCTTGTCTCGCCCATCCTCTCATCACGTGTTGCAAAGTTCCTCGCTCATCTGTCCTCTAGGAACACTCCGTTAGCTAAAGTCAGCTGGTTGTGGCTGGGAGTTGTGCTCAGTGTGGAGCCCTGCGGTCAGGGCTGGCCCAGGCCCATTGAAAGTGGCAGAGGGGTGAGTTAGCAGGTGGATCTTCCCCTTCCCGCCCCTGTTTTAAAGTACACTGAGGGAATCCTAAATTGAATGGTGTAATGACGCTGAACAGCAAGCTTGCTACGCTGCGTGGTGACCCTTGTAGCTGCCGGAGACTTCCTCAAGGAGAGGCAGTGTCTGTGTGCTTGTGAAAGAAGGAGCATATGGAGTGACTGTCACTCCTGTCGTTTATCCCTTTCCCGAAAGTGCCTCTATATCTGTCCTTGAGTGGACTGTACCTTAACAAAAATGGCTACCTTTGACCCGTTCTTTCTTCACTTTATCCCTGTCTGCTGCACGTCCTCAAGCTAGTGATAAAGCTGCAAAGGGCTATAGCTGCAATAGCTGAGAATTACTGCAATACGGCGCTCCTCTGCGTGCAGCCTGGAGATACTGCTTGCAAGCCACACTCTAAATAGTTAGGAAGTGGCAGCATGCTAAATAGGAGCTGCTGAGGAAAAGGCTTTTAAGCTGAGGTGCTGGGATTTATAATTCAGTGATGCTCAACTCGAGGGGGCTAGGGAGAGGCTCGGTTGGGCATTACTGCTGGGAAGAGGGCAAGGTTGTTGTGAGCAAACCTGAAGCAACAAGCGTGGGGGCACAGCCTGAACCCCACCATCCCTGTTACGGAAATGCCCAAACAAGCTGGACCCGATCCCTTGAGGCTGCTCGAGAGCTTGGCGGGGGGGGCCTCCTACTGTAAGAGCCAAGAGAAGCTCCTGCGCCAGGGAGCTGAGGTTGGCAGAGCTCAAGAGCCCCCGCGTGTCGGCGCGGGGCCGATGGCTGCGGCGCTCCCTGACCTGGCTCCGAGCGAGCAGGCGCTCACTGCAGACACTCACCCTCGCTCTTCATGAGGGCTGGCGTTTCCAGCCCAGACGGGGGCCAAGGCTGGGGGCCTGTAGCTCAGGGAAAGGTTGAGTGCTGGGCGCAGGGCGTGCGGTGGCGCCGGGCCAGGTCTGCTGCCAGGATCCCCTGTCTGTGCTTTTCCTGCAGCTCTGGTCACACCTAGGCTAACAAGGAAGTTGGACTGTTTGTCTTTTTTTCTCTCTCTCTCTCTTTTTTTTTTTTATAAACTAATCAGTGTTTTCTAATGGTCGCACATGGCTCATTTCATTAGTACCAAACAAGTGAGTTTCAAAAGTTATTTTTAATTAATTATTGTAGCAGTCTAATAATTTAAGGCCCTAAGTCTTCCCTATATTAAAGCCTGCCCCACCCCTCAAAAAAGTGCTTCTAAGCAGCACGGGATTTCATTGACTGAGGCAGAGCAAACACGAGCTGCAAGGGTTGTACCTGAAGGTGTAATTTCTAGAGGCTTTGCTGTGAAAGTGGTTCTCCTTTCCTTGCGGGGGAGCTGGGGGTGAACAGTCACCTTGCTGACACTGCAATGCACCTAGCCCAGGTTGTCAGTAAAAATTCCTCATTCTTGGCATGACGCACACGGCTTTCGGCGTGCAAAGGGCAGCTCCTGTGTTGCACAGGTCCGGTACGTGGGTAGGTTACAGACCTGCAGGAAAGTGAGTTCTAAAGCAAAATGGGGCAAGGGGAGGCTGAAAACTCGCTTCCTGTCCCCCCTGGAGGCATGCGCTGAGCATCGTCCTTTTTGGCTTGGTCTGCTCAGTCTGCGCTAGGGAGGTTTCTAGACCAGCCCTGCTTTGAGTCTCGGTGTTCTGCTGTGCTTTGAAGTGCAAAAAAAGGAAAAAAAAAAAAAAAGGCATTGAAGCCAGTCCTGTGTCAGAGCAGCGTAGCTAGTGCCCTGGCCAGTCTGGAGCAGGGAGCACAGGGCTGGCTGTAGGCAGCGGGTCTCCGTTTGCGTCTGGTGCCGTTAGCTCCGTGGACTAGTTTCCTTGGCTGGGGCCTGAGAATGGCACCAGCTGGGAGAGGCCGGCTGTAGTGTTACCAATACATGCAGGGGGGCCAGAACACAGATGTAGCTCCTACTCGCTTCATTTCAGTGGCTGCATCACTTTTTTGTCTGTAACAGCTGCCCCTCTCTAGGTTTCTTAGGTAGGCTGAGTTGCTTCCTCCTAGCTAGAGGTCTATGGTTCTGCTGTAGAGGAGGGGAAGCTATCGTTAGCTTCCAGTGGAAGCTGCTTTCAATCTCGCTGCAGTATCTGCAGGGGAGGCAAAGGAACATTGTTGGCTTGGACAGAACAAGCTGCAGAGGATGCATCTTATTGCTGTATCTTTAGGGGGTTTCTCCCCATTTTTAACTCGCATTATAAGCTTTTATTCAAGAAAGTGTTACAAGGCTAAAACCCACTCAGACCAAAAGATTGCCACCTGATTCTGTTAAGCAGCAAAGTCTCCTGGGACTGACTCATGGACACATGTTCGGGGGTATCTCCCACTGGGCTTCTGCTGGGTGTAGACAGCCAGGGGCTGACTGACTTGCAGGGGGTTCGGGTTGTGTTCCCCAAGGGCCTGTTGGCGGGAAGATACCCTGATGTGTCCTGAAGTCACCAGTCACCCAAGGAACTGGTCGTATTGTTCCTTTTAATGTGTAAGTGCAGCCTTCTTGGGGAGAACTGTCTAAAGCTTTTTGTGCCATTTGGTTAATAAAAGTGTTTCCACCTTTAAAAGGAAGTTCTTTCCAGCTTCATTGTTTAGTTCAAGCGAAGGGGTATGTATATTTTTTTCTTCTGCCGATGGGACACTGCTGTAAGACCATGCCCCCAGGTTGCACTTTAATAAATGGTACAGTTTTCAAAAACACTGTGTGGACTATTTCTGTGCTCCTCCCCTCCCCACTTATAGTGCAGTGGAACAAAAATTCCACCAGCAATTTCACTTATTCAGGATGACTTCAAGGCGTTAGGAATAAGCGCACCTCCCTTGCGCTAGCTGCCTCCTAAGTACTATTAAGTAAGTGCACGGTAAGAACTTGCACAAAGCACGACAACTCCTTTAAAAGGTAGAGTAGAAATTCAAACTCTTATGCACTGCATTGCCATGGGAAATGACAATTTTATTTATGTTTAAAAAAAGCAATATATTTACATTCTCAAAGTTCTGAGGGAGCTGGATGAAGCCTCAGCTACCCTGTGTGACACCTGAGTCATTTCTTTTGCTCAACAGCACACCAGCCCTGAGATGTGAATGCAGGAGGGACGTGGTCAGAGATGCCAGGTATTCTTCCCAATTCATGGGCAATAGCTCGTTTTTCTTTGCAGCAAGCTATTCTAAAGCTAAAAAACATTTTTTCCTCAAGCGTGTCCAGATTACTGTGCTCCCTGAAACAATTTACCCCTGTAATTTTCTGCGTTAGCTGCATTTCTCAAGCAAGCATAGCTGCTGTGGATTAAGACTACAACCATTAAGACTGAACCTTACCCTACCTCTTCCAGGACTGTTTCCAGTTGCAGTCAGCTCGCTCTGAGGTAATCTAGATATTTTCTCCCCTGCTTTGGTGAGCGATGCTGATGAACCACCCGTTCTAGAGCCAAGGCCTTGCAGGGAATGATCAACATCCACCGTGCCCCAGCGGCAGCACCAGGGTGGGGAAGGCAGTGGCTAAAGCAGAACGCACCATTCAGAGGGTAAACTGAGAGGCCAGGCCCTGTGGCCATGGCATTTCCTCTGGAGGCACCTGCATTTAAGTCTGCTAATGAAAAATAAAAATAAAAAAAATACCCCCTCCACCTCACCTATTCGACAAAATAAAGGGCAAGCACTACTCCTGGCAGGTGCTGGCAGGCCGCTCATAAATGGCATTGCGGTGCTAGTCTATGAAAGCCTATCTACATTGCTGTCCCTTCTTTTCACAGCCATATTCCAGAATTAAAACAATTCTAAGGTATCAAGAGTAGAAAGCCCTTGGGAAGCAGCAGTCTTCACACAAGGCAGCTGGAGCCGAGCCTTCTCACCCACGCAGCTGGCAGGAAAGAAACAGAGCCAACATGAGCAGCCTTGCTGGAGCCGTGAGCCCTCTGCCCGCCCCGAGGAGCCTCCCTGGGAGAGGAGAGCAGCACCTCAGCGGCTGCCACAGGCCCCTGCGGCTCCCCTTGGCACCAGCTCTGAGCCCTGCCCTGACTCTGCCGCCTGCTGCTCCGCTCTGGGGCCCCCTGCCTGACCTGACTCTTCCATCCCCAGTGCCGTTTTCTGTGCTGAGGGCAGGGCCGGACGAGCTCTGAGAGCTGAAGGGTCCCTTTTCCTGCCCTCTCCTGCTTTGCCCTCAGCTTCCTGAGCTGCCTCTCTGGGGCTGGCCAAGGGCTCCTCGTGTGGGAACGCGGTGGCCCCGAGTGAAGCAGGATGGAGGAAAGGGGGTGCTGCCCAGCCCCGCTGCTGCCTCACAGTGGGCAGGTGACAGCCGTGGCGCGAGGCGCCTGCCCAGGCTCATGGCACCGGGGCGCAGGCCCTGCTGGGGAGCACAGGGCTGGCCTGCGTGCGGGTGGCACCCAGCCACAGCGCGGCGCTGGCCCCAGCTACCTGCCCGTGCTCAAACCCCGCTCCTGCAGGCCCTGCCTCTGGCAGTGTGCACATGGACACGTATGTGCATGTGCACATACATATGTACACACAGGGACTCAGTGGGAGTGGTGCCATCCCTCTGTCCCCCCCATGCCCCGTTCAGAGCTCCTGCGGGCCCCTCCAGCCACAGAGGCCATGACCACACGGAGCTGTCAGAGCGCTCACCATTCGGACGATGTAGGTGTGGAGGTGCTGGTTGATGTAGTTCACAGTGGTGCTGAAGATGCGCTGGAGAAGGGAGGGCACTCTATTTGCAACTTTTTTAGTTAAGACCATTGCTAGCACCAACAAGGCCTTCTCCTGTTCCATGTCTGAGGGGATGGCCCTTGCAAGCCCTTCCACTGCCTGTGACAGGCACCGGGTTATCTCCTGTATGGAAGCAAGGGAGGGTCTTAGTACAACAGCTGTAGAAAGGGCTCTCCACACACCACGCTGGTGACCAACATGATGGTCCAACACCTCACGGGGTGCCGCTCTTTCCTCCCTAGCACAGCAGCCTGCCGGAGCTCTGGAACACCCCATTTGGCAGCGGGAAGGCTGCTCACCCAAGACCAAAGCAGAGGCGATGGCCCACGTGCTGCTGGAGAGCTTAGCCAGCACATCTCATTTTGGGCACCACAGTTATCCCCCCACGCACTCTCCCACCCCTCCTCAGTGCTTGCACACAGTCTGCCAGTGCCCAGGAGGCCTGGGCACCCACATGGTGTTTCCCTGAATTTCACTGTGCTTAGGCAGGGACTAGTGAGGGGATGGCAAAGTGAGTTTCACTGAAAAGCCATCAGATACAGAGCTAGAGAAAGAGCCAGGCATGGGACACGTATCGCCTTGGACAAGTATTGCCCACCATCAGATGTACAGGACTTGGCACCAGCATCCACAGACCCTCCCACAGATCTTTCTTTTAGACAAATACTGAGCTTAAACCAGAATGGTGATTTGCAAAGATACTACCCTGAGCCCACCAACTTGGGGGCAAAAACACCTGTGAAAATCCTCACCACCTTAATTTCCCAATCCACAGAAAGCCCAGGGAGCTCACTCTGCAGGGCAAAGGTTGCTACAAAGCTGCCACAGCATAGCCCCTTACAGACATTCACATCAAAGGTAAGCATAGGGGCTGACTTCTTTTACACTTGGAAAATTAAAACAATAAACCAGCAAAAATGCAGATGTTTCCAGCTTGCTGCAGGAAAGTTCAACAACATTCAAAAGGCAAACGACTAGTGAGGCTGCATTTTTTTACTCACCTCTCTAGACAAATTCTCATTCAGAAAATGCTGTACAAGATCGTTTACTACTCTTGCTTGGATTTCTTTATCCAGCTGGTCTCCAATCTCTGCAAGCTGAGCACCAATGATCCGGAAGATTTCCTCGTTCCCCATGTCCTCAGCGGCGAGCACTGCCAACACATAAAGCAGGATTTAGCTCACAGGCCGCAGCCACCCTACGTTCACTGCAGGTAAATGGACTCACAGCATCCTGGCCACCACCAGCAACCCCTGCTCCCTCTCCCACATGGTGTTTGTGACAGCTATATGTGCTACGGGTCACTTGCATCCGCACAACAACCTAAACTTGCCCAGAGACTGCGCAAATAGTTTTTCATGTAGTTACAGGTATATCTAGTACTTCACCAGCCACCCAAAGCAGGGTCCCCTCCCCAGTCCAAATGTGTGACCTGGTACATTGACCTTAATCTCAGTACAGCTAAGAGGACGTGCAACAGTACACAGCCCTCCACCATCCCAATCTTCATGGGCCTCATGTCCCAAAGGAGCACTGGGAAGCTTTGCTAAGCAGAGATACTATGTTTTAGATGGTGCTTAAGACACAGATCTTAATGGCTGTCAAGAAATTACGTGAGCTCTTCCAATTCCCTCCTCAGCTCGAGGCAAACTGTCGGCCACAGATACTGTAAAGTTGTAATATCCTCTAGAAATTCTGGTTTCATATGCTTGAATCTCCCCCTCCCCTCCCAAATAGCATTTCTTTTCAGCAGAGCGAGGCTGCGTTTTACCCATATTACAGCTTAAACTCTCCCTACCACACATACAGAAGAAAGGGATGAACCCCACAGCACAAAACAAGAACGTGTTCCAAAATCCAAGCCCCAGAACTAGTGCTGTTTGTTAGGGATCAAGTTCTGAAACTCTCTTCAATAAGCAGTCTGAAGCCTGACATAGGATCACACTGTTTAAAAACTGTCCTGCTGCTTGGGACACTCATCTGATGCGCTACGTAAAACCCTCAGTGTGGCAAGTAAGCCAAAAAAACACAGAGAAATAAAGTACTAAGCATTAGCAGAATTATATAAGTGTTAAAATCCCAATTAACATCACTATCAATAGCCATGCTCTGAAGTTTCTCAGTGGAGAGGAATTTACTCTTCAACAGGCCAGCAGAGAAGACAAAACAACAAACAACAACAAGCCTTGGAGGCTGGTGGGAAGGAGAGCACTCACCCAGCTCACCGTTCTGCAAGTGCCCGCTCCGATTCCCGTCCGTCTGCAGGTCCCCGTCGTCGTCGTAGTGGCAGACCTGCTTTGCGACAGGGAAAATCCACTGGCCTTGCAGGGTTTGTAGTTGGTCTCTAAACTCGCAGTTAGAGGAGCTCTGCAGGAAGCTGTACAGGAGGATGCGCTCCATCCGGCTGGATCCATCGCTGTGGATATCCTAAGCATAAGACAGTCACTGTTAAACTCAGCCCAGAAAAAGTACCATCTTTCCAACACTGCTTTCCAACAGCAGGCACACACTTTTCTGGCCTCCTTTAAAGGTCTGAAATAGTGTTAGCCAGGAAGCCTTCAAATGTCAGCAAATGGATGTTTGTGAGTAAGCTTGTGGATGTTTACTCAAACACAACTGTTTGATGGCGAGCACTAGACAGCTCCTACAAACCAGAAACAACTGCTCTTTCTAGAAACCCATTTTTATGAGCTAGCAGAGAACTGACTCTCTGAAAGTGTGAGCTCACCTTCCTCACATTCCCAGCTGTAGCGAGGACTGCACCTCTGACCGGAGCAACTCTTTCCAAAGAGAGGTGCATCAGCACCACTTTCCTATTTGGCATCTGCATTTGGAAGACTTATCCCTGTATTTGGGGACTGGGCACCCTACTTCCTATACAGAACTGTAAGCCAGCAGCTTTTGATTTAAAGATAATTAACCACGTGAACCTTAATTTTTGCAAGCTCCTATTACCTCTTTTCACCATATCTTATCTCTCTCTTCAAGGGGATCTAGACAAGGTCCATAATAAGCCTGTCCAGAGCCCTGGAGAGAGCCATGCAGCTGCCAGCAAGAGTGACAGCGAAAAGGCAGACTATGAGTGTCTGATGGCCCTGACATCCACGCTCAGACAGGGCACATGCTGCACGTGTGGCCATGCACACTTCCCCCGAGCCACAGTCTGGCTGAGGAGGCCTGGCAGGTGGGCAGATAGATTGATGCAAGCAAGAGGTCCCAATAAGGCATAGGCCTTAGGCCTCATAACCACCTAAGGCCTCTGCAAGAGGCCCGGAGATGAGCCAAGAATCGTAATTAAGCAGCTAAGAGAGCAGGATGTTGTGCAAGTACAAAAATACAGGGAAAAAATCCTGCTCTGGTATGCAGACCATTTGTCTATAAGAGAAGAAAGTGCTTAAGCTTAATTTGAAGGATTAAGCCTAAAGTAGAATGATTTTTTTTCCTTACCAAGGGCATAAGGCCCATAAGCAAACAGGATGAAGCCAATAACTGAAGGGGAATGAAGCTTTGCAAGGCCACCCATACCTAGGTAGCACTACCAACATCAACATATAGGACCCAGGTTATCAGCCTCAGAAATACAGATTTGGGTATAGATATAACAAAATTGGAACCAGTGTAGGAAGCTGAAGACTTAACAGATGGCAGATCTTCCACTAATAAGGGTGTGAGTGCCTACAGATGTCAGTGAAGCTCACCTGGTGACCCAAGTTCACCAGGACTCCAGAGGCCCCTTTGCACTGCCTGCTGGACCTCCCATCAGGTTTATCCACAAAAGACTTGAAGAAGGGCAGAGAAGAGGGTTAGAGTAAGGGTCCCACTTACTGTAAAGGGGGGAACAGGAATAGACTTCTATTTTAATAGCACTTTTGTAGTTAACAAGATTTAAGGGTGATAAGTAGAAGCTTCATAGTTGTGTTTAGCACTGTACGAAATGGTGCAATCATAAATTGATTACAGTGATAGGTCTGTTACTCAATTTGGTTAACTGATTTATTAGCTTTAGTTGTATGTTGCTTAACCAAACATTGTGGTCTCTCAAATGAGCTGTATCTCTAGCTTTCAACCTGGCAAGAGAGAGTCAGACTGTGCGGTAAGGGAGCAGCCTGCAAACTAAATTATTCCATCTTCTTTTTGGCCATATTCCTGGAGGAAGAGAGCACTATCAGAGGCACCTTCAGGAACTCTGGAGGAGATGAGGCACTTTTTTGATACACGCTGTCAGAAGTATTTTGAAACTTCGGTCACGTCTGCAACTTACCTGTTCCATGATGACTCCAGAAATAGGCTCTTGTTGCCCTCTGCTTCAGTCCCAAGGTCCTTGTCCTGCAAGGCAGTGAAAACGGAAGGGATTAAAGGATCACCCCATACCCCTTTTACCAGTGCTCATGGGCCCTTCCAGGGATGCACACCCTGCCAAGGGCTGTCTATTCCAAACCAGAAACAAGGCTGAGAAAGTCATAACTGTGCCAGGAGGGCCCTATGCAGGTCAGTGACACAGACAAAAT